AAATAGAGAGCCCAGAAATAAACCCACACATTTATAGTCAATTATTATTTGACAGAGGAAACAAGCACATATAATCAGCTGAAGATAGTTAATTCTATAAAATGGTATTGGGAAAATTGGACAGATACTTGCAAAAAAATGAAACCAGGCCACCTTCTTACATCACACACAAGAATAAATTCAAAATGGATCCAAAACTTAAATGTTGGACCCAAAACCATAAAAACTGTAGAAGAATACATAGGCAGCAAAATCACAGACATTGCTCATAGCAATATTTTATCAGATATTATCTCCCCAGGCAAGGGAAACAAAACAAAAGTAAACACATGTGAGGACCATTTTGTTCTTGTTTTTCATGTTCGTTTTGCTAGTCAGGGTCCCTTAAAATTCCATATGAAGTTTAAAATGAATTTTTCTATTTCTGCAAAAAAAAAATGTTGGGATCTTGATAGAGATTACATTCAATCTATAGATTGCTTTGGGTGATATGGACATTTTAAGAACAAGTCTTCCAATAAATCAACCGGATTGATTTTCTATTTATCTATGTCTTCTTTAATTTCCTTCAGCGATATTTTGTAGTTTTCAATATGCGAGTCTTCTACCTCCTTGGGTAAGTGTATTCCCAAGTGTTTTATTCTTTTTGATGCTATTACAAATGGAATTGTTTTTGTAGTTTTCTTTTTATTGTTCATTGTTACCATACAGAAATGCAACTGATTTCTCTGTGTTGACTTTTTATCCTTCAACTTTAGAGAATTTGTTTATTAGTTCTAACAGTTTTTATGTACAATGCAGTTAACTTTCTTTTCTAAAAACACATTTTAATTATACCCCCTTTTAAATTATACAATAAAAACATTCTTACTGATACAGATTCATGCAAGCTAGAGAATGTGGACTAAAAAGTGAAAGTGTACCCTCACCTCCACTATCCCTCTTCCCAAACAACCCCACTTCACTTCTGAAAGGTAACTTCCATTAATAGTTTGGTATTTACTCTTACATGTTTAGTCCTTATGTGTATTTTCTAGTTCTACATTTCTCTTCCAGAATTTTGCAAGAAGCAATGCTCAAAAAGCTCAACATTTCTAGTTCTTGAGGAGTGCCACCAAAAACTTCTTGCAATAATGATCATGATGTGTGTCTCCCATTTAAAAACTACTGATATCCAATTTTTATTCTTTATTTTAAGAAAAAAGAAAGAAATTTATCATCTTATATTAGTTCAGCAATAGAGTAATTTATTTGAAACCGGCATTAAAAATACTAAGTTGTGTTATTGGGAGAAACCCAATCACAATGACTCAATTCCAAACTGAGCCAGGTCATTATATATAAGGACTACCACTGGGGTTTTTTAATTGAAATAGCTCTCTAGCAAAGCTACTTCCAAATGTATTACTTTTTCAATCTCTTTTTTCAGGTAATACAAACACAATCACTGTAGTTTTGCTGCTGCTAAGTACTGTGTTTTTTTCACAGACAAGAAACATCTTTTTTTCAGCTACATATGATGCCAGCTAAACTGATGAAAAAAATATATAGTGTTCAATTAGAGATTTAAGTATAAAATAGCTTTTTGAAGTATACATTTTTAAAATGCAAAATGTTCATTCTAATATAAAAATGTTTGTCTATGTATGCCAAAAATACACATTGTGATCCTCAGACTGCATTTTTAAATTAAAAATTAATGTTTAGTGCCATGAGCAACAATTTCCTGTCAAGCCGATAGAAGTTCAAGATATATTTTTCTTGCTTACACTAAAAATGCACATTTGATGTTTTAACTTGTTAAAGAAGCAGATTGGCAAAATTAATTTCTGATTCTAAGAATTTTCCCCTACAAAATTTGAGTTCATAAGTAGGTATACACAATTGAAATATTTTACCATTTTTTAAGAAAAAACAAAAAAATGCTCACTGAATTTTTTAGAGATAACATTTTATCCTGATTCAAATAATAATAATAATATAAAGCCATGTACATATGGTTTTCGTTGTTCCTTAAATCATGACATTTGAATTAAATAACCTCAGATAAAACAAACAAAAAAGCCAGATATTATAAAACTCCAGAATATTCTCAAATGAAGAATTTTAAAACACAAACCCAGAAAAGACTTTGAAAGGTCATCTGCTCCATCAACACTTCTAGTGTTTGAAACCAAATAAAATATTAAAGAATATGAACTGTTCTCCTGTTTCTTTATCAGTTGAAAATAGGCACTGGAGAGATTGCATGCTTTTATCCAGAGTCAATTTCCTAGAATATATGGTTTAGAAGAAAGATATATTTGCTGAATTTCTTTATTAACAATGCCATCTTCTTGGCCTGACTGGTGTGGTTCACTGGGTTGAGTGTTGTTCTGTAAAGCTAAAGATCGCCAGTTCAATTCCTGGTCAGAGCACATGCTTGGGTGGCAGGTTTGGTCCGTGGTTGGAGCATGTACGGGAGACAACCAATTGATGTTTCTCTCTCACATCAATGTTCCTCTCCCTCTCTTTCTCCCTTTCTTACCCTCTCTAGAAATAAATATTGGGTCGGCCAGAAAGTTCGTTTGCTTTTTTCCTCATAAGATGGCTCTAGTAGTGCTTAGTTCTCATTCGCTTCATTTGACACAATTTTGTTAGAATATATTGTGACAGCTGTCATATCAGAGTGCATTAAAAAAACTTACCAACATTGGTAAATTTTTGTATAGCCATTTTAATATTGAAAATAGAAGAAAATATGCAACATTTTCGGGATATTGTGCTTTCTTATTTCAAGAAAGGTGAAAACACAACTAAAATGCAGTGACGTATTTATGCAGTGTGTAGAGAAGGTGATGTGACTGACTGAACATGGCGAAGGTGGTTTGCGAAGTTTCTCGTTGGATATTCTCGCTGGACAATGCTCCATGGTGGGGTAGACCAGTTGAAGTTGATAGCGATCAAATTGAGACATTAATTAAGAATATTCAACATTATAACGTGGGAGACAGCCAACATGCTCAAAATACCCAAATCAGTAAAGTTTTTGGTGAAAATGAAAATGGCCAACCCAGTAAATAAAATCTCTAAGAAACAAAACAAAACAAAACAAAAGCCATCTTCTAAAATGGACCGAGGAAACTAGAGTCCTGTTTTGATTTAACAATTTTAGGATTTAATATATGAGTGTTATATGCAACTACTTAAAAGATAGACTTGCCAATTAAAAAGCAGAAAGCATCTATCATTTTAAGCAATGATAAATGGAGATAAGATAGTAAATCAGAGTGGACTAAATAAATCTAAAACCAACAAGGGACAGAAGCAAAATATTTCATGAATAATGCTACTAGAGTCCAAGTCCACGGACGATATTATTCCTCTTCATTTTCTGATAAATGTTTTAGTACATGTAAAGCTAAAGAACCAGCAATACCCCTTGAGTTTTTAGAACCAGCACAGTGAATGGTGGTCCTACCCATAGCCTTCATCGTGCAGTGCCTTGCTGATTTCCTAGCACAGCAATTTCAGGCACTGGGCATGTTAATGATGCAACTAGGCCTCAGAGGGGAGAATGTCATGAGAATGTGAACCAATGGAAGTATGAGGAAAATTACAATAGTATCTAGACAATATGTAGCTTTATCTACCTTCCTTTTGAGGTACATTTACAGAAGTCTCTGCCACTGCGATCTGGTTAAATAAAGAACTTTTTTAATTTCACATATGTGCTAGTCATACTATTAATTAATAGAGATACCTACAGAAGATATTTACTAAAGCATGATGAAAATGCATGTGCTCTGCCGAGATGAGTATCACAGACACCTAAGGCCATTGCCTGTTGCTAGTGATGTTCGTAAGGCTATTTAAAACTTTACTCCTTTGTGTTTCTCTTTCCCTCCCCTAGTTCCATTGAGACTTCTCTATTCTTGAATGACCCCATTGCTTTTTGCTTCCCTTTGCATGTTAGGGATGCGTGACAATGAAAAAATCCAAAATTGGTTGAGAAAGTCTAATTTGCTTTCTTGTTAGGTTTCTTGGGCAAGTTCAGCAGGCCTTTCCTTTCCCACTGACTCTGCAAGGTCTGGCCCAAATCACCACTGTTTGAAGTGTTTTCTTCCAAACTTTATATGTGCTGAAAATAAATTTTTCAAGATAGTTTACAATTTAGCTTAAAATTTCAGTGTTAGTTACATTTTAATAAAATTTTTTTTTGCTTAGGTGGCCATCTGAAAGCACATATATACATTTTCTAGATTTTGCTTCTGATGCATTTGTGTTGGGAAGGGAGCATTTCCACCAATCAATGAACAGTAGTAACTCATTCAGTTGTTTGGAGAAAATATTACTGGATATGCTTTCTTGGGCTTATTCTTGGGGTTTTAAATTTATCTTCAGTGAATTTGCACATCTGAATATGTTTGAATAAGTCAACAACTCCATGTTAAGTCAATGGCTGTGTGTGCCTGTGAACAAACTCCTTTGGGAGACATAAAAGTGCTATTTCAACCTCTGTTTCATTCTCACCAGGCAAGTGTGGAGGGTGGGTGCCTTGTGAACTCTCCTGGCAGATGCTCATTCAGAAAAGCATGACATCCTTTCTTCTCCCCTCTATCTAAGCCCCATCTCATGCACATTACGGGACGGTGTGTGTTTGTGGCCTGATTGCAAAATAGGCAATCAGGTGCGTGTTGTGCCCAAAATGTATAATTGCTGGCTTTGTGGATTCTACCACCTACACTTCAAAATGAGAGTGGAACTCTATTCTTTGAAAGAATTAAGTCTGTCTATAAGAGTCAAACTCAACCTCACTCATGCATTTCTGGGAATCACACTGACATTTCACTTTTATTAGTGATGTCCAAAGTCGGTGGGTATTTTTCTGCTCTGTGTTCTAAAGAACGCATGAGAAAATGTTTATTCTGGTACCATTCTGTGCACCTTATTATGTTTTAATGACATTTTTATTGCCCAGAGGTTTACTATAATAAACATTTCCTTTTTCCCCTTTTAAGGTTTGAACAGGCTTTTATTACCAGTTTGATCAGTAGTGTGGCAAAAACAAAGGACAGTTATTTTTGGATAGCTCTCCAAGACCAAAATGACACAGGAGAATACACTTGGAAGACAACAGGGCAGAACTCAGAGCCCGTGCGCTACACACACTGGAATGCACATCAGCCCCGTGAGTAGAGGGGACTGGGACATCACCATTCTCTTCCGCTTTCTTTGCTCCAAGTTCCTTCTACCTCTTAGTCCAACTCCTTTGATTGTTCCTGAATATTTTCTTAATGTGTATATTAACTAAATGATTACCACAGGTTCTCAAGGGGTAACATATATGGCTGGTCATTTTATAACCCATGTGAGTCATTTGACATGTTGACAAGGTATATATACATTTGACAAAGGTATTTATACATTTGACAAGGTATAAATTTATCGCTAAAGACCACACATGCCTTTATATAAGCAGAAGTACAATTTCTCCCCCTGAAATTCTTTCCCAGAATTCCAGGGGTTTACTGATTCAAGAATAGTTCCTGATACTTCACAGTGCATGGGCACAGTAAGTGGGCACATGTGGGCACCTTGAATCAGTTTGTGGTCACCGCTATGTGACTTTCTGAGGAATGGTGACCCATCACTTAGGTAACATTCTTATTAGTCCATGTGCTCCGTGGACTCCTGTGGTATCTTAGCAGGATTCCAGAGTTACAGCTCTATTAACTCACTCTTGTGTGCTCAGCTCTGGATCCCAAAGCATGAAATTGTGCCAGTTTAAGCAGTTTTGGAGAAGCTAGGGGCTTTACCCACAGCCTACACTAGGCCCTGTGGAACCAACCTTAAGCCCTTGTATTAAGCTTAAATTACCAGCCTAGACTCAACACCCTGTTACTTCAGCATGAATTCCTGTTTGAGTGACTTAGTCACTTTCTTTCCTATGGCTCTCAGTTAGTGCTATTCCAACAGATGATAGGCAGTGGGTTCCCTGTAAATTTGTAACTAGAGGAAATGGGTTAGGGGCCCCATCATGCTCTTCCCTGAGAAAGATAAATATCATGATAACAATAACAACTATTTATATCAAATACTAGTCAAAGGGCTAAATATACTAATGAAAAGATGGATACTTTAGACTGAGTCAAAAAACAAGACCCAATTATATGTTGTCTAGAAGAAACCCACTTTAAATATAAAGACATGTATAGATTGAAAGTAAAGGGATGAAGAAATACTAATATTAATCAGAAGAAAGCAAGAATTGCTGTATTGATTTCAGACAGAACAGACTTCAAAACAAGGAAAGTTTTCAGCAATAAAAAAGAATATTACATAGTGATAAAAGAGTCAGTATTCTAAGACAGAACAATCCTTAATGTATATGCATCTCACAACAGAGTGATAAAATACATGAGGGAAAACTGTTAGAACTGCAAAAAGAAATAGATACATCTACTATTATAGTTGAATACTTTAACCCTCCTTTACCAGAAATGGACAGATCCAGCAGCTAAGGAAATCAGTAAGGACAAAACTGAACTCAACAGCACCATCAGTCAACTAAATATTATTGACATCTGGAGATTATTTCATCCAGCGACAGCAGACTACACCTTCCTCTCAAGCTCACATGGAACACTCAGCATGGTAGACCACATTCTGGGGCATAAAACACACCTTACCAAACTGAAAAGAGTAGAAATCGTATACTTTCTTCTCTCAGACCATATTGGAATTAAACTAGAAAGCAAGAGCAGAAAGACAGCTGGAAATTCCCCAAATACTTGGAGATTAAACAATAGACTTCTAAATAACATGTGGGTCAAAAATAAAATCTCAAGAGAAATCTTAAATATATTAAACTAAATGAAAATAAAAAATAACAATTTATCAAAAATTTTGTGAGATGTGTAGAAAGCAGTGTTTAAAGGGAAATTTTTAGCATTGAATGCATATATTAGAAAAGAAATATCTAAAAGCAATAATCTAAACTTTCACCTTAGGAAACCAGAAGAAGCAGAGCAAATCAGCCCTGATTTCATGGCTCAGTTGGAGCATCCTGCCATGTTCCAAGGGGTTGCAGGCCTGATCCCCAGTCAGGGCACATACTGAGGTTGTGACTTTGATGCCCAGTCAGGAGGCAGTCTCTCTCTCTCTCTCTCTTTTTCTCTCTCTCTCTCTCCCTCCCCCTCCATCCCCTCTCCTCTCTTTTCCTCTTTCTGAAAATCAATAAAACCACATCCTTTGAGTGAGGATTTTAAAAACAGCAAAATTAAATGTAAAGTAAGCAGAAAAAAGAAATAATAAGAGTCCAAGCTTAAAAATCAATGAAATTGAAACCAGAAAATTATTAAAACCAAATGCTGATTCTTTGAAAATATTGGCCCTGGCTGGTGTAGCTCAGTGGATTGAGCGTGGGCCTGTGAACCAGAGTATCACAGTTCAATTCCCAGTCAGGGCACATGCCTGGGTTGCAGGCCAGTTCCCAGCAAGGGACACACGAGAGGCAACCATACATTGACATTTCTCTCTCTATCTTCTTCCCATTCCCCTCTAAGGATAACTAAATAAAATCTTAAAAAAGAAAATATTAATGATATTGATAAGCCTCTAGTCAGATTCACTAAGTAAAAAGAAAGAAGATACAAATCCTGTGGACATTAAAAAGATAAAGGAATATTACATACAGTCAGACCTTATACCCCTTACAAAAATTAACTCAAGCTGGACCATAGACCTAAATATAAAATGCAGAGCCATAACAGTTCCAGAGGAAAACACAATAAAAAACGCAGATGACCTTGGGTATGGCAAGGACTTTTTAGACACAACACTAAAGTCACAATCCATGAAATAAATGATGAGCATTAAAACTAAAAATTTTCACTCTGAGAAAAACAGTATCAAGAGAATGAGAAAACAACTAGACTGGGAGAAAATATTTGCTAAAACCACATCTGATAAGAGGCTGTTATCCAAAATATACAAAGAACTCTTAAAACTCAGCAAGAATATTAAGAACCCACTTTAAAAATGGACGAAAGACCTGAAACAAAAAAGATATGTAGATAGCAAGTAAGCATATGAAAATATGTTTAACATCGCACGTCTTTAGGAACTTGCAAATCCGAACAATGAGCCATCGGTTCACACCTATGAGGATGACCAAATCCCAAACACTGACAACGCCAAGTGCGGATGTGGAGCAGCTGGAGCACCTCATAAATTGCTGGTAGGAGGGCAAAATGGTGCAGCCACTTTGTCAGCTTCTTACAGAATAAACAGGCACATTCCTTGTTGTTTATCCAATGCATTGGAAACACATTCACACGAAAACCCATAAATGGACTTTTATGAAAGTTTTACTCATAATTGCCCAAACTGGTAAGCAATCAAGATCTCCTTTAATAGGTGAGTGGATAAATAAGCTGTAGTATATCCAGACAATGGAATATAATTCAGTGCTGAAAACCAAATGAGCTATCAAGCCATGAAAGGACATGAAGGAAACTCAATGCATATTACTAAGTGAAAAAGCTAATCTGAAAAGGCTACATACTGTTATGATTTCAATCAGATGACATTCTGCAAAAAAAGCACAACTATGGGGACAGTAAAAAGATGAGTGGTTGACAGAGGTTAGTGGGCAAAGCCAGATGAAAAGACAGAACACAGGGTTTTTCTGGCAGTGAAATTATTCTATCAATATATGATACTATAGTGGTAGATAAATGTCTTTATACATTTATCTAAACCTGTACAACGTTCAACACCAAGACTGAATTCTAATTTAAACCATGGACTTTGGGTGATGTCTATGTATCAGTACAGGTTCATGGATTTTAACAAATTCTCCAAGACGGTGTGGGATGTCACTAGTGGGAGAGGTTTTGTGTAAGTGGGGGTAGGGGACATAAATCTGTATGGGGATTAGGGAAATATCTGTGTTTTCCCCTCAATTTTCCTGTGAACCCAAAATTCTCTAAAATATGTAGTTTATTAGCGTTTTTTTTAACTGTACATTTTGCCCTGGCTGGTGTGTCTGAATTGGTTGGAGCATTTTCTCATAACAGAAAGGTTGCGAGTCTGATTCCTGTCAGGGCACATACCTAGGTTGCCGGTTCCATCTCCGCTCCTGGCCCATAAGATCCTGGGTCTGGCTGTATATGGAGGCAGCTGATCAATGCTTCTCTTTTACACTGATGTTTCTTTCTCTCCCTTCCTCTCTCCTTTCCTCTCTCTCTTAAAGCAATGAAAAAAAAGTCCTCAGGTGAGGATTTGTTTCAACTGTACTTTTAAAAAGATGTATGCCAGATGAAGTTAAGACAAGTTTTTTTGTGTGTATAAGCATCAGCTTAGAAAACTTGTACAGTAACTGGTGACTTTCCATAGCTCTAACCAAGAAACATTCCAGTTCACTCAATAAAGATCCATGAATATTAGATCTAGGAATATTGCTGAAATGCAGAGAGAAGTAAAGTTCCATGTCACCCTCTTACTGAAAAAATTAAAAAGCTCAGGTATCATTTCTAATATACTTTGGAATTTAGCTAAGATTGTCTATACCTGTCAAAATAAATTAATACATTTTGAGTAGACAAAATTCTTGGTTTTTAATGCTACCTTCCTTGGGGCATATTTGGATGTCTAAAATCCAGAGTTGAAGCAGAGCTCCCTGTCATTCATAAGTTTCTGCTGTAATTTGAGTGACATTACTCTTTTTCTTTTTTCCCTGAAGCAAAAATAATCCCGTGATGCTCAGTTTGGCTGCTCATGCTGATTGACATTGAGTAAATTGTCTCTGAATAAGACGAAAATGTAAATCTTTGGGGGAAGAAAAGAGCAATATAAAAGCCCCTGTGTTTCCTTTTTTCTTTTAAATTGCAGCTTGCAGATACACCATTCAAAATCACCTTTTCTCCTGCTTGTCACACCTACACAAAAAGTATCCATTAGCTTAGTCCCCATGTCAGAACCTTAATCCAGCCCAGACTAACCATGTAAATTGACCCCTGAACAGGAAACCTGCAGGGTTTTTTTTTTATCTAAACTCAGCCAAGACTCTCTCCTATGTCAGATTATCAGAATAGTCAATCTGTAGTGGAATCATGGTTCTGCCATTTTTTCAACTTTATATTATATTCTCCAAGGGTACAATGAACCACCACATACCCATCACCT